CACGTCTGTAATCCTAGCACTCTGGGAGGCCGAGGTGGGTGGATTGCTCAAGGTCAGGAGTTCAAAACCAACCTGAGCAAGAGCAAGACCCCATCTCTACTAAAAAATAGAAAGAAATTAATTGGCCTACTAAAAATATATAGAGAAAAAATTAGCTTGGCATGGTGGTGCATGCCTGTAGTCCTAGCTACTTGGGAGGCTGAGGCAGAGGATTGCTTGAGCCCAGCAGTTTGAGTTTGCTGTGAGCTAGGCTGATGTCACGGCACTCTAACCTGGGCAACAGAGTGAGACACCGTCTCAAAGAAAGAAAGAAAAAAAGAAGAAATGATCACTTCTTAAAGTTGAAAAAATTCTGGTAATGTGAAAGTTTATAGTGTATAGCTCATTAATTATACTATTATCTATAAAAGCATAACTATGATTTTACAATATATATTTCTCATTACTATAAAAATGTAAACAACTTTATTTATAAAAGTGTTTAGTATTTAGCATTTTCATAGTTTCTGCACACTTTGCAAATTGGGCAATAAAACTGGTTTTAAAAATAATATTAGAGAAATCTTATAGACTATTTTCACAGCTTCAAACAATACCATTTTAACCTCTGCCCCTCCCAATATGTGAAAATTTGTTGTACATTTTTTGAGAGGAGAATTGCTTTAGACTTTACCAAAGTAGCAAGTATGAAAAAAACATTCAGTTTTGTGACTGTGATTAAAGAAGAATGTGTTTAATCACTGATTCTTGAATAACACCGATTCTAAAATAAATTACTGATTATAATTTTTTATAAAGACTACATGCTGTGGCACATAATCAGAATATTGTGAATATTCTGTGAATATTTTTAGACTGGCTTTCCAGGGCTTTGCCATTGTCTCATTTGTAAAGGCATCAAATACACAAATCATTCCTTAATTAGAATCTCAATGATGCATATATATCATCCAGTTAAACAACTAAGGACCTACTTACCTTTTTTATCTTAGTAACTTCCATTTCCCTTTTAAGAGACAATAACTGTTCATTGGAATCCATTACTAATTTAAGAAAATTGACAAAAAATTATCTAAAACCTCTGGAATAAAAAGTGGATGCCAGTTATAACTTTTACTGCAATGACCTTGAAACTTCATTTTCCACCATCTGAGAGAGTCTGTCTGTGTAAGATAAGATGTGAAAGATGGCAGACCCTGGGGCATGTGGCTTCAGTGGTATAGAGAGCTTGCAATGGTTGGCAGGCTTCATCCTGCTGATCGTGTACCATTAAGAGAGAATTTCAAAACTCCCAACATCATTTTCTACACCCAGCTAGATGGTGGTGCAATATACGAATGAGAGAGAGAGAGAGAGAGAGAGAGAAAGAGAGAGAGAGAGAGAGTGTGTAATGGAGAGAGAATGTGTGAGAGAGGAAGAATTACTATGATTATAAATAAATGACATCTTTAAACAGCTTTGAGCTCTGGGATTGAGTGCATCAAAATAAAAAGAGCTGTCCAGAAGTTTATTGACTGGCAATTTATGCATACCATACCAAAACATATACCTACCTACCACTTTTTCTATGGCTGTAAATTCCAGTTTTCAGGCCAAAGATAGTAAAAATGTTTGACACTAGCAAAAGAAATTTAATACAATTGACATAACTACATTTTTAATTTAATTCTATGCAGTTTGTACTCAACTATTTTGTTTTCTTTGTTTAAAATACTTCTGGGTTTTTGTATCTTGTATACATAGTGACAAATTAGAGATAATATATAATATTTAATTGAACTATGACCAATATTTAATTATGTAGCTCTAGGGGCAGAAGATCTGTAGCTGCTATATGAATCTACAAAAATTACAGTTTTAATTGTTTCCTGGTAATAATTATTGTGCAATATTAGCTTCATTTATTGCCAACATTCCCTTAATTGTATATGCAGTTTTATTTTCAGTGGATCTTACGTTCAAGAGGATTTGCATATTCATCATTTGTAAACTCCCATGATGAGAAACGAGATTATGGATGTATTCATAAGTCATTTTTCATAACCAATTGCTTCAGTTTTATTACAAATAAAAGTGAAGAAGATTTATATAGAGAGTCTACCATATTTTAAGAAATGTTGTTGAATTGTTCTCAGGTTATTTATTTATTCATTCGTCAAACAGGTATACATTGAGCACCTGTTATACCAAGAACTTTTCTAGGCAGTGGGAGGATAGCAGTGAAAAAAACAAATAATAATCATTGCGTTCATAGAGTTTACATTTTAATCAGGGGGAGAAAGACACTGAGCAAATAGATAAGAAATGTATTTCATGTCAAGTAGTGATATTTGCTGTGGAAAGCAATAAAGCAGATAACTCAGATGAGAAGTGTCAGAGGTGAGGGTGAAATGGTGATGTTTTAAATAGAGCAGTCAGCACGGTCACATACCATCTGAGTAGTAGAGGGAACAAGGCAGGTGCATATTGGAAAGAACTGGAAATGCAAAGACTCCAAGGCAAAAGTAAGCCTGATCTGTATGAGAAAGATCATGGTAAGGATGTTGATGTTTACCTCAGACAGGAAAACCCATGGAAGAGTTTTGAGCAGGAGTGACATGATCTAACTCACATCTCTAAAGACTGTAGTGGGACAAGGGCAGCCACAAAGAGGCAAATTAAGAAGTTATTACTATAATCCAGAAAGAGATGATGTTCTCTTGAGCCAGACTTAGTAGTGGTAGTGCAGGTGGTGAGATATAGTTATATTTTGGATGTGTTTAATAGATAAACTAGAGATTTGCTGATGGATGGATGGCATGTATGGAGAGAGAGAGAGAGAGAGAGAGAGAGAGAGATGAGTCATGATGCCTCCAAATTTCTTGCCCAAATGAGAAGGGGTTGTCATTAACTGCGATAAGAAAGGTTGTTGGGAAGAGAAAGTTTGGGCAGAGAAAAATCGCAAGTTTAGATTTAGACCTATTTCTATTGAGATGCTTGTTAGTTACCCAAGTGGAGGGGCCAAGTCAGCATCAGGATATCTAAGTCAGAGTCCAGGAAAAGTTCTGGACCTTAGATAAAAATTGTACGAGTCATTAGCATTTAGGAAAGGTTTTAAAGGCATGAGATATTAACAAGGCTGTGAGGGTGTAGAGAAGAGAAGAGACCCAAAGACTGAGCTCTGGGGCAATCTAACATTAGGAGATGAGGGAAATCTAGCAGGGGAGACTGAGAAATAACAGTCAGTAATGTAATGGGAAAATCAGGAGAAAAGTATGTGCTGGAGCCTGGTGAGGAACATATGTCAAGAAGGAGGGAGTGATTAACTACGTTCAATATTACTGATAAGTATGTTGAGGAGGAAAAATTAAATATTAGATTTAGCAATGTAGGGATCAACCTGCAGTTTCAGTGAAGTGGTAAGGATGGAAAAAGAGGCATGAAATATTGATTCATGCTATAATGTGGTTGAACCTTGAAAACATTATGCTAAGTGAAAGAAGCCAAGCATAAAAGGGCCACATACTGTACGACTCCATTTATATGAAATGTCCAGCGTAGGCACCTCCAGTGAGACAGGAAGCAGACTATGGGTTGCCGGGGTCCAGAGTAGAGGAAAGGATGGGGATTGGCTGCTAATGGGACTATGATCGTGAAAATGTGTTGGAATTAGTGGTGGTTATTGCATAACACTGTGAATATACTAAAAGCCACTGACTTGTATACTTTAAAAAGGGTGAAAGTATTGAATTTCATGTTATGTGAATTTTACTTAAATTAAAAAACACCCTTATTAGCATAGGTTCATGAGAGAAAGGGGGGAGAAGAATTAGTTGGAGTCAGTGAGAGTGGGCAGAATTTTGAAAAGTTAGTTAGAGAAGGTTGTAGGGTCAGGAGCTCTTTCTCTCCCATTCAGCATCACAGGATAATGCTGGAGGAGGTAGAGGGCTGTGTTTGTCAGAATTTTTGCTGTAAAATAGTGGTGGAGCATGAGAAAAACCAGGGAATAACCCCTTGCCTAAAATCTGTAAGAAAGGAAATGAGGACATTATGGACGATGAAAGAAATTGAAAGGATTGTAGGGCCCTGGGCTTGCAGTGCCTGGGGAAGTCGACATGTTGTTAGGTTGAGATACAAAGGGAGGGAGCTGGGAAGGTGAGGTGATGGTGGGGGAGTAGGCCAGTCGATAAAATAGGGACATGTAATCATCCTTAGTCGTGGTAATACTTGATTAGAGGAGTAGGGGCAGAGGTTGTCTTTCATCAAAGTTGTCTTTCAAGATCATCACTGATACAAATCAGGAAACTGAGAAGCAAGTGAAAGTGGATATTGAAATGACAAAGAGTGACAATGAGCCCAGAGCTAAAATCTTTAGGGGCGGAGGGGTCGTGCACCAATGTCTGTGGGTGACAGTGAAAAGCTGGCATGGTGAGGGGGGGCATTTGATGTTAAGAGGGTCAGAGCTTGGGCATTTGGGAAGGTGAGAGTGAGAGTTATCTGGTAGTGGCAATGGGGCAAGAAGGACTCCTAGTTTTCCTGCAAGTCCTGTGTTGGGAGGGTTTGGGGAAAAGAAAACAAACCAACAAAAAAGCAGGCACAATTTGAGAGGGCTTCGGAAAAAGTAGTTCTGAGGCAGGTCCAAAGTCCAGTTCAAGAGGGCACCCTATGTTATATTTGACATATGTACAATTGTCCTAAGAGTAGGCTCTGAGTGTCAACATTAGGGCAGATTACTCACTTCAGTGGAAACATGGAAGGTTTGGTTTGGGGGCTTGCTGGTCACCACAGAGTTCTGATTAAAATACAGAAGCACTGGCAGGGACGTTTCCTTCTGTCATTGTCTGCCTCTGTCTCTGTGTGTGAACACTTGTGTGTATAATAGGGTTGCCTAAGGGGTGATGCTGCCATGGCGTGGAGCTGGGTAGAGAGTGCTTCGTAGAGTGAATATTAATATTTTTAAAAATACATGAGTTCATGTCCAGTTGCACATGCATCTAACTTCTTCCCAATCTTTTTAACAGATGAAATGTTACCATGTCAAGAAGCATTGAATACCACGCAGGAGCTATGCCCTCCAGACACAGATCTCTGCAGATTTGATTCAACAGATGAAGGACTGAGATGTAAGTGTTAAATTGAGGTGTTTACCTTCTTGGTGTGTGGGCAATTTATAAGATTCAGAGACCACTGATAGGCATATGTCCATGCCACCCTTTGTTGACATTAATGTCTCAATATAGCTCAGGTGTTATTGGAAGGATGTGGTTTATTATAAAGTAAAAGATACTAAATACATCAATTTAAGGTGTTGTAAAACCGCCTCATCTAGAAATTATACACAATGTTTCTTCTTTAAAATTTCAACATGATTATGAATAGTAAATAATTTAAGCTAATCTAATTTGATAAAATAGGTAAGGTCAAATATTAAGCCATTTAAATAATTGCAGCTGAAGCAGTGGTATATGCAAGAACAACTAAGAATCCTTTTTCATGTTTTTATGGCGATGGTTATTATTTGGGAAGTTGCACATCTGGATCAACTGAAGAATTTTTGCAAAATAGAGTTGCTAGTATACTGTAAGCCTTAATGAATCAAAATTTCCAGATATGAATTTGTGTGTGTGTGTGTGTGTGTGTGCGCGTGTGTGTGTGCGCGTGTGTGTGTGAGTAAACCTCTTGCTTGATTACAACTCGTAATGCTGGTTAAACAGCCACTCTGGTAGAACATAATGGTCCACCAAGATCTCCTTTTCCCTCTTTAGTGTGTCAGCCCTGTGGATTTGAGTTTGACATGGGTTACTGGGCATCGGAGGCACCTGCTGACCAAATTTCCTGGATACGCACAAAAGCAGGAGAGACCCCTGCGTTAGAATCCATACTCCAGCAGAATCAGAGCAGTGATGATGAAGGTATTAAAGAAAAAAAATAATATCTTTTATGTAATGGTTTCAGAATCCCACTTTATTAGGACTAGTAATAATGAAATCGGGGTCTTGAAGAACATACAGAGTATATTTTGTTGAAAATATAGTATGCCATAGATAGTGAAAGGGAAAACAATCGTGTTTCCAACAGTGTAAAAGAAGAGTTATACTAGATTAACTATTTTTGTTTTGTAAATTGCATTATTTTCTTATCATTGGAGATATTAGATATTATGAGAACCAAAAGAAAAGTATTAAAAGACTTTTATCAAGCCTACTAGCTCTTTTTATCACTTCAATACTGTCAATGAGTTTCTTCCTCTTATTCTAACACATAATTTGTATTTTCTGTTTACTTTTCTCTTTCCTTCCTTTTTTCCTTCCTTCCTTCATTCCTTCCTTCCTCTTTATTTTCTATATTATTTACTCAATTTTGAATTATATTTTAGATGCTTCTTCCTGATAAAATGAATTCTCTTTTTTAGTGTGTTCAGCTCAGATTACATCCTATCTATTGGGCATTAAATTTTAATATCTTAATTTATTTTAAACCCATTAATATCCATCAATATTAATTATCAATATTAACATTAATAACCACTAATTATTAACACCAATAATTAATATTATTGATAGTGATTAATACAATCAATAAATTATTATTTACTAATATTTATTAATGTTTTTCTTATTTACCATGTTTCTCCGAAAATAAGACCCACCCGTAAAATAAGCCCTAGCAGGATTTCTAAGCATTTGCGCAGTATAAGCCCTACCCCGAAAATAAGACCTAGAGATGGTCATGGCTATGCAGCACATCTGCACAACCCATGTGTGTTGTCACAGAGTGGTAAAGAACACAAGCAGCCCTTCTTATCTACCCCATCGTGACAGCTACTACCCAGAGGTGCCTGGAAAGGTGCAGGCAGCCCCACCAACAAGGTCGGGTCCCCCTGTCAGGTCCCGGCCACCCTGTGCATTCTATAAGCTGAGGCTTTGAGGGGAAAATAATACATCCCCTGAAAATAAGCCATAGGGTGTCTTCTTGAGGGAAAATAAATATAAGACCCTGTCTTATTTTTGGGGAAACACGGCATTTCCTAGCACATCTAACTTTATTAGAATTTTGCCAAATTTCATTTAATTTTTTGCCCAATCAATGTATTAATATAATTATAATTATTTTTTGACGTCTTTAGCAATATATTTACATATTTTACTGTGCAGGCTACTTTAAAAAATTAATGGATTTTATTTTTTAGAGTAGTTTTAAGTTCACAGAAAATTGAGTGGAAAGTAGAGTCTCCATATATCCCCTTGTCTTCCCCTCCTCTAGTTTCTGCTATTATTAGCATCTTGCATTAGTGTGGTGAAGTTACAATTAATTACAATTATTGAGCAAATATTGATACATTATGATTAACTAAAGTCCGTCATTTCCATTAGGGTTCACTCTCTGTGTTGTACATTCTTGGGTTTTATAGTATCATATAGAGCAGCTTGATTCCCCTAAACATCCTTGTGCTCTACCTATTCATATATGTCTCCATCCCCATAAACCCCAAGTAACCACTGGTCTTTTTCCTCTCTTCATAATTTTGCTTTTCCAGAAAGTCATATACTAAGAATCAAAGAGTGTGCAGCCTTTTCAGATTGGCTTTTTTCACTTAGTGATATGCATTTCAGCATGTCTTCCTTATTGTCTTTGGGTTTCCTTAGAGACTTCTCCTTAAATAAAGTCTGAGGCATGCAGCTCTTTCAGTAGTATTACCCTGTCCTTATACAGAAGCCTGCTGGTGTGGTGGTAAGTTGTGAGGGGAAGGGAAGCATTCTGCAGGCCAATGATTAGGTCTCAGTTGTTTAGTGAGCCTGTTTCCCTGTCCTGTGACTTTCAACAGTGCTTCTCAGTATCACTGCCTCCAGCCCAACCCTGCCATAGGTGAAACAGGAAGACAAGAGGGAGCTGAATCTGGATATTTTCCTCACTTCTCCCAATGTGGAAGGTTAGAACTGACTGGAGTTGGGTATTTCCCTTCCCCCAGGTCTGTTTGACTCTGGTCAAAAATCCTTGTCATTTAGGTTGTGGTAAAATAGTTTCTCTTGAGTGCAGGCCTTGTTAGGAATAAAAGAATATTCCAGCTTTATTTAAAAATGTCTACTTTTCCTCCCTCCCAGTTGCAAGCAGGAGATTTTTTTTCTGATCTTTGCTGTGAGAACCTAGTAGGGTTCCTGAAGGTAAAGCTCAGAAAAGAATGGGAATTCCACCTAATACTGGGTCCCCTAGAGTTTTTAACTCTCAAACTTGTCTACACTGAGGTTAGTCTAGGTTTTTCTACCTAAGTACTGGTTCCCACAGAGGTTTGCATTCTTGAGTTTCTGCCCCGGTAAGTTGTGATTCTCTGTGTCTGCTGTCTCACTCTCTGTGTCTGCTGTCTCACTCTCTGTGTCTGCTGCCCCTCTGGTTGTGTGGTAGTAGTTTACACTGCGACCTCAATTCTCTAATGCAGCAAGCCCCCAATTTTTTGTTACCAGGGACCAATTTCATGGAAGACAATTTTTCCACACACCCGGGGGGCTTGAAGGGAATGTCTCCGGATGATTCAAGCACATTATGTTTATTGTGCACTTTATTTCTATTATTAGATTGCATATATAATGAAATAATTATACAACTCACCATAGGTTGGGGACCCCTGCTGTAATGGATCTGAGAAGAGTTGTTAATTTCCACTTTGTTCAGATTATTTCTGGTTAAATGGACAAGAGTGATAACTTCTAATCTGTTTACATGCTGGTCCAGAAACCAACAATTTTGCAGCAGAAATTAAAGGATTGTAGGCCCTGGCTTGCAGTGCTGGGGAAGTCGACATGCTGTTTATTCGAGAACAAAGGAGGCTGGGAAGGTGAGGGAATGGTGGGGTAGGCCATCGATAATACGGATGTAATCAATCCTAGTCGTGGTAATACTTGATTAGAGAGTAGGGGCAGAGTTCTCTTTCATCAATTGTCTTCAAGATCCTCCACTGATGACAAATAGGAAACTGAGAAGCAAGTGAAAGTGGATATTGAATGACAAAGAGGTGAAATGAGCCCAGAGCTAAAATCTTAGGGGCGGAGGGGTCGTGCACCAATGCTCTGTGGGATGAAACGGCATGGTGAGGGGCGGCATTTGGATGATTAACGAGGGTCAGCAGCTTGCATAACAATGGGAAGGTGAGAGTGAAAGGTTATCTAAAAATAGGGAACAAACACACAACAAACACAATCTGTGAAAGAGGGTTGGGGAAAAAACAGTTAGTGTATTAAGAACCACTTTAACATATACAAAAAGTACTCATAAATTAGGGAGAACATAAAATAAAGGGTTCTTGTCACCACAAAAAAAAAAAATAAATAAGAGCACTACGTTCCATATCTTCATTTCATCATCTGTCTCTGTGTTACACTTGTTGATAAAAACTGCTGGCCAAAAAATAAAGGAAAAGAGTCAAATAATACACAGTATCACACAGTTGAATGACATACTTTCTCACCAACTTACAGAACAGAAATTCGTTGACAGACTATGCCTCCCAGACACTTAGTAACAGATACAAAACAAAAAGATTCAGAGACACAACAGCACACAAAAAATAACATCTCAAATTACTCAGGTTGGAAAAGATATCAAAACACATTAAAGGTGTACGCATCTCTAATTTACTATTTTATTTAAAATATCATTTAAATAAATAAAAATATACATATATAAAAATAAGAAACAAAAAAACACATATACAGTGAAGCAGTTAACAAACAATATACGATAAATAATAAATATGGAGAAACATCTGATCAACTGAAGAATTTAGACAAAAAAAAAATAACAACAGAAACAAATTATCCAGATGAACAAATATGGTGTGTGTTGTGTGTGTGCCGTGTGTGTGTGCGCGTGTGTTGTGAGTAACCTCTTGCCAAAAACATAATGGTTAAAAACACACTCTGTAGAAACATAATGCTACACAACACAAACACATACACAAAAATACAACAAAATAACATGTTTAAATAACAGGAGGCCCTGCTGAATTTTGGAACGAACAAACAACATGACAAAAAAAAAACAAAATACAGATTTATAAATACAATATCAGAAAATATAACAGTAAAAATGAATGGGGTCTTGAGAAATCAGAGTTTTTGTTTAACACATAGATAGTGAAAGGGAAACATCGTGTTTCCAACAGTGTAAAGAAGAGCTTATTACTAGATTAATATTTTGTAAATTGCATTATTTCTTATCATGTGGAGAATTAGATATTATGAGACCAAAGAAAAGTATTAAAAAGACTTTTATCAAGCCTACTAGCTCTTTTTATCACTTCAATCTGTCAATGAGTTTCTTCCTCTATTCTACACACATAATTTTATTCTGTGCTGTAAATTCCAGTTTTCAGGCCAAAGATAGTAAAAATGTTTGACACTAGCAAAAGAAATTTAATACAATTGACATAACTACATTTTTAATTTAATTCTATGCAGTTTGTACTCAACTATTTTGTTTTCTTTGTTTAAAATACTTCTGGGTTTTTGTATCTTGTATACATAGTGACAAATTAGAGATAATATATAATATTTAATTGAACTATGACCAATATTTAATTATGTAGCTCTAGGGGCAGAAGATCTGTAGCTGCTATATGAATCTACAAAAATTACAGTTTTAATTGTTTCCTGGTAATAATTATTGTGCAATATTAGCTTCATTTATTGCCAACATTCCCTTAATTGTATATGCAGTTTTATTTTGAGTGGATCTTACGTTCAAGAGGATTTGCATATTCATCATTTGTAAACTCCCATGATGAGAAACGAGATTATGGATGTATTCATAAGTCATTTTTCATAACCAATTGCTTCAGTTTTATTACAAATAAAAGTGAAGAAGATTTATATAGAGAGTCTACCATATTTTAAGAAATGTTGTTGAATTGTTCTCAGGTTATTTATTTATTCATTCGTCAAACAGGTATACATTGAGCACCTGTTATACCAAGAACTTTTCTAGGCAGTGGGAGGATAGCAGTGAAAAAAACAAATAATAATCATTGCGTTCATAGAGTTTACATTTTAATCAGGGGGAGAAAGACACTGAGCAAATAGATAAGAAATGTATTTCATGTCAAGTAGTGATATTTGCTGTGGAAAGCAATAAAACAGATAACTCAGATGAGAAGTGTCAGAGGTGAGGGTGAAATGGTGATGTTTTAAATAGAGCAGTCAGCACGGTCACATACCATCTGAGTAGTAGAGGGAACAAGGCAGGTGCATATTGGAAAGAACTGGAAATGCAAAGACTCCAAGGCAAAAGTAAGCCTGATCTGTATGAGAAAGATCATGGTAAGGATGTTGATGTTTACCTCAGACAGGAAAACCCATGGAAGAGTTTTGAGCAGGAGTGACATGATCTAACTCACATCTCTAAAGACTGTAGTGGGACAAGGGCAGCCACAAAGAGGCAAATTAAGAAGTTATTACTATAATCCAGAAAGAGATGATGTTCTCTTGAGCCAGACTTAGTAGTGGTAGTGCAGGTGGTGAGATATAGTTATATTTTGGATGTGTTTAATAGATAAACTAGAGATTTGCTGATGGATGGATGGCATGTATGGAGAGAGAGAGAGAGAGAGAGAGAGAGAGAGATGAGTCATGATGCCTCCAAATTTCTTGCCCAAATGAGAAGGGGTTGTCATTAACTGCGATAAGAAAGGTTGTTGGGAAGAGAAAGTTTGGGCAGAGAAAAATCGCAAGTTTAGATTTAGACCTATTTCTATTGAGATGCTTGTTAGTTACCCAAGTGGAGGGGCCAAGTCAGCATCAGGATATCTAAGTCAGAGTCCAGGAAAAGTTCTGGACCTTAGATAAAAATTGTACGAGTCATTAGCATTTAGGAAAGGTTTTAAAGGCATGAGATATTAACAAGGCTGTGAGGGTGTAGAGAAGAGAAGAGACCCAAAGACTGAGCTCTGGGGCAATCTAACATTAGGAGATGAGGGAAATCTAGCAGGGGAGACTGAGAAATAACAGTCAGTAATGTAATGGGAAAATCAGGAGAAAAGTATGTGCTGGAGCCTGGTGAGGAACATATGTCAAGAAGGAGGGAGTGATTAACTACGTTCAATATTACTGATAAGTATGTTGAGGAGGAAAAATTAAATATTAGATTTAGCAATGTAGGGATCAACCTGCAGTTTCAGTGAAGTGGTAAGGATGGAAAAAGAGGCATGAAATATTGATTCATGCTATAATGTGGTTGAACCTTGAAAACATTATGCTAAGTGAAAGAAGCCAAGCATAAAAGGGCCACATACTGTACGACTCCATTTATATGAAATGTCCAGCGTAGGCACCTCCAGTGAGATAGGAAGCAGACTATGGGTTGCCGGGGTCCAGAGTAGAGGAAAGGATGGGGATTGGCTGCTAATGGGACTATGATCGTGAAAATGTGTTGGAATTAGTGGTGGTTATTGCATAACACTGTGAATATACTAAAAGCCACTGACTTGTATACTTTAAAAAGGGTGAAAGTATTGAATTTCATGTTATGTGAATTTTACTTAAATTAAAAAACACCCTTATTAGCATAGGTTCATGAGAGAAAGGGGGGAGAAGAATTAGTTGGAGTCAGTGAGAGTGGGCAGAATTTTGAAAAGTTAGTTAGAGAAGGTTGTAGGGTCAGGAGCTCTTTCTCTCCCATTCAGCATCACAGGATAATGCTGGAGGAGGTAGAGGGCTGTGTTTGTCAGAATTTTTGCTGTAAAATAGTGGTGGAGCATGAGAAAAACCAGGGAATAACCCCTTGCCTAAAATCTGTAAGAAAGGAAATGAGGACATTATGGACGATGAAAGAAATTGAAAGGATTGTAGGGCCCTGGGCTTGCAGTGCCTGGGGAAGTCGACATGTTGTTAGGTTGAGATACAAAGGGAGGGAGCTGGGAAGGTGAGGTGATGGTGGGGGAGTAGGCCAGTCGATAAAATAGGGACATGTAATCATCCTTAGTCGTGGTAATACTTGATTAGAGGAGTAGGGGCAGAGGTTGTCTTTCATCAAAGTTGTCTTTCAAGATCATCACTGATACAAATCAGGAAACTGAGAAGCAAGTGAAAGTGGATATTGAAATGACAAAGAGTGACAATGAGCCCAGAGCTAAAATCTTTAGGGGCTGAGGGGTCGTGCACCAATGTCTGTGGGTGACAGTGAAAAGCTGGCATGGTGAGGGGGGGCATTTGATGTTAAGAGGGTCAGAGCTTGGGCATTTGGGAAGGTGAGAGTGAGAGTTATCTGGTAGTGGCAATGGGGCAAGAAGGACTCCTAGTTTTCCTGCAAGTCCTGTGTTGGGAGGGTTTGGGGAAAAGAAAACAAACCAACAAAAAAGCAGGCACAATTTGAGAGGGCTTCGGAAAAAGTAGTTCCGAGGCAGGTCCAAAGTCCAGTTCAAGAGGGCACCCTATGTTATATTTGACATATGTACAATTGTCCTAAGAGTAGGCTCTGAGTGTCAACATTAGGGCAGATTACTCACTTCAGTGGAAACATGGAAGGTTTGGTTTGGGGGCTTGCTGGTCACCACAGAGTTCTGATTAAAATACAGAAGCACTGGCAGGGACGTTTCCTTCTGTCATTGTCTGCCTCTGTCTCTGTGTGTGAACACTTGTGTGTATAATAGGGTTGCCTAAGGGGTGATGCTGCCATGGCGTGGAGCTGGGTAGAGAGTGCTTCGTAGAGTGAATATTAATATTTTTAAAAATACACGAGTTCATGTCCAGTTGCACATGCATCTAACTTCTTCCCAATCTTTTTAACAGATGAAATGTTACCATGTCAAGAAGCATTGAATACCACGCAGGAGCTATGCCCTCCAGACACAGATCTCTGCAGATTTGATTCAACAGATGAAGGACTGAGATGTAAGTGTTAAATTGAGGTGTTTACCTTCTTGGTGTGTGGGCAATTTATAAGATTCAGAGACCACTGATAGGCATATGTCCATGCCACCCTTTGTTGACATTAATGTCTCAATATAGCTCAGGTGTTATTGGAAGGATGTGGTTTATTATAAAGTAAAAGATACTAAATACATCAATTTAAGGTGTTGTAAAACCGCCTCATCTAGAAATTATACACAATGTTTCTTCTTTAAAATTTCAACATGATTATGAATAGTAAATAATTTAAGCTAATCTAATTTGATAAAATAGGTAAGGTCAAATATTAAGCCATTTAAATAATTGCAGCTGAAGCAGTGGTATATGCAAGAACAACTAAGAATCCTTTTTCATGTTTTTATGGCGATGGTTATTATTTGGGAAGTTGCACATCTGGATCAACTGAAGAATTTTTGCAAAATAGAGTTGCTAGTATACAGTAAGCCTTAATGAATCAAAATTTCCAGATATGAATTTGTGTGTGTGTGTGTGTGTGTGTGTGCGCGTGTGTGTGTGAGTAAACCTCTTGCTTGATTACAACTCGTAATGCTGGTTAAACAGCCACTCTGGTAGAACATAATGGTCCACCAAGATCTCCTTTTCCCTCTTTAGTGTGTCAGCCCTGTGGATTTGAGTTTGACATGGGTTACTGGGCATCGGAGGCACCTGCTGACCAAATTTCCTGGATACGCACAAAAGCAGGAGAGATCCCTGCGTTAGAATCCATACCCCAGCAGAATCAGAGCAGTGATGATGAAGGTATTAAAGAAAAAAAATAATATCTTTTATATAATGGTTTCAGAATCCCACTTTATTAGGACTAGTAATAATGAAATCGGGGTCTTGAAGAACATACAGAGTATATTTTGTTGAAAATATAGTATGCCATAGATAGTGAAAGGGAAAACAATCGTGTTTCCAACAGTGTAAAAGAAGAGTTATACTAGATTAACTATTTTTGTTTTGTAAATTGCATTATTTTCTTATCATTGGAGATATTAGATATTATGAGAACCAAAAGAAAAGTATTAAAAGACTTTTATCAAGCCTACTAGCTCTTTTTATCACTTCAATACTGTCAATGAGTTTCTTCCTCTTATTCTAACACATAATTTTTATTTTCTGTTTACTTTTCTCTTTCCTTCCTTTTTTCCTTCCTTCCTTCATTCCTTCCTTCCTCTTTATTTTCTATATTATTTACTCAATTTTGAATTATATTTTAGATGCTTCTTCCTGATAAAATGAATTCTCTTTTTTAGTGTGTTCAGCTCAGATTACATCCTATCTATTGGGCATTAAATTTTAATATCTTAATTTATTTTAAACCCATTAATATCCATCAATATTAATTATCAATATTAACATTAATAACCACTAATTATTAACACCAATAATTAATATTATTGATAGTGATTAATACAATCAATAAATTATTATTTACTAATATTTATTAATGTTTTTCTTATTTACCATGTTTCTCCGAAAATAAGACCCACCCGTAAAATAAGCCCTAGCAGGATTTCTAAGCATTTGCGCAGTATAAGCCCTACCCCGAAAATAAGACCTAGAGATGGTCATGGCTATGCAGCACATCTGCACAACCCATGTGTGTTGTCACAGAGTGGTAAAGAACACAAGCAGCCCTTCTTATCTACCCCATCGTGACAGCTACTACCCAGAGGTGCCTGGAAAGGTGCAGGCAGCCCCACCAACAAGGTCGGGTCCCCCTGTCAGGTCCCGGCCACCCTGTGCATTCTATAAGCTGAGGCTTTGAGGGGAAAATAATACATCCCCTGAAAATAAGCCATAGGGTGTCTTCTTGAGGGAAAATAAATATAAGACCCTGTCTTATTTTTGGGGAAACACGGCATTTCCTAGCACATCTAACTTTATTAGAATTTTGCCAAATTTCATTTAATTTTTTGCCCAATCAATGTATTAATATAATTATAATTATTTTTTGACGTCTTTAGCAATATATTTACATATTTTACTGTGCAGGCTACTTTAAAAAATTAATGGATTTTATTTTTTAGAGTAGTTTTAAGTTCACAGAAAATTGAGTGGAAAGTAGAGTCTCCATATATCCCCTTGTCTTCCCCTCCTCTAGTTTCTGCTATTATTAGCATCTTGCATTAGTGTGGTGAAGTTACAATTAATTACAATTATTGAGCAAATATTGATACATTATGATTAACTAAAGTCCGTCATTTCCATTAGGGTTCACTCTCTGTGTTGTACATTCTTGGGTTTTATAGTATCATATAGAGCAGCTTGATTCCCCTAAACATCCTTGTGCTCTACCTATTCATATATGTCTCCATCCCCATAAACCCCAAGTAACCACTGGTCTTTTTCCTCTCTTCATAATTTTGCTTTTCCAGAAAGTCATATACTAAGAATCAAAGAGTGTGCAGCCTTTTCAGATTGGCTTTTTTCACTTAGTGATATGCATTTCAGCATGTCTTCCTTATTGTCTTTGGGTTTCCTTAGAGACTTCTCCTTAAATAAAGTCTGAGGCATGCAGCTCTTTCAGTAGTATTACCCTGTCCTTATACAGAAGCCTGCTGGTGTGGTGGTAAGTTGTGAGGGGAAGGGAAGCATTCTGCAGGCCAATGATTAGGTCTCAGTTGTTTAGTGAGCCTGTTTCCCTGTCCTGTGACTTTCAACAGTGCTTCTCAGTATCACTGCCTCCAGCCCAACCCTGCCATAGGTGAAACAGGAAGACAAGAGGGAGCTGAATCTGGATATTTTCCTCACTTCTCCCAATGTGGAAGGTTAGAACTGACTGGAGTTGGGTATTTCCCTTCCCCCAGGTCTGTTTGACTCTGGTCAAAAATCCTTGTCATTTAGGTTGTGGTAAAATAGTTTCTCTTGAGTCCAGGCCTTGTTAGGAATAAAAGAATATTCCAGCTTTATTTAAAAATGTCTACTTTTCCTCCCTCCCAGTTACAAGCAGGAGATTTTTTCTGATCTTTGCTGTGAGAACCTAGTAGGGTTCCTGAAGGTAAAGCTCAGAAAAGAATGGGAATTCCACCTAATACTGGGTCCCCTAGAGTTTTTAACTCTCAAACTTGTCTACACTGAAGTTAGTCTAGGTTTTCGTACCTAAGTACTGGTTCCCACAGAGGTTTGCATTCTTGAGTTTCTGCCCCGGTAAGTTGTGATTCTCTGTGTCTGCTGTCTCACTCTCTGTGTCTGCTGTCTCACTCTCTGTGTCTGCTGCCCCTCCGGTTGTGTGGTAGTAGTTTACACTCCGACCTCAATTCTCTAATGCAGCAAGCCCCAAATTTTTGTTACCAGGGACCACTTTCATGGAAGACAATTTTTCCACACACCCGAGGGGCTTGAAGGGAATGTTTCAGGATGATTCAAACACATTATGTTTATTGTGCACTTTATTTCTATTATTAGATTGCATATATAATGAAATAATTATACAACTCACCATAGGTTGGGGACCCCTGCTGTAATGGATCTGAGAAGAGTTGTTAATTTCCACTTTGTTCAGATTATTTCTGGTTAAATGGACAAGAGTGATAACTTCTAATCTGTTTACATGCTGGTCCAGAAACCAACAATTTTGCAGGCTCTTTTTCAGAAAAATGAGATTTGTTCTCTTTCTTCACCCGCCCTCCCTTATTCCCTGCTCTTTCTTTTTGTTCCTACCCCACCTTGCTTAGCGGTTTTGTTGTACCATGACTTAGCTCCCCAAGACGTTATATGAGTAACAGTACTGGTGTAGGGTTTCATACTGCATGTTTATGCTTTGAGTTCTGCACATCCGGTCACTTAGCTATAGACCAAGGCATTGAATGTTGATGTATCCCCTATCTCATTTTATGAGTAGGTTTTCTAGCCCTAGTCTTTGGCTTCATTGAGAGAGTTTGAGTCTGTTTCTCTAACTTTCCTTTTTCACAGCATTTGAATTTGTCAAAATCCAGCCTGCTTCTGGTCCCAGAGTCCAAGAGTTCTATGGCTTCCATCCTATTCATTACTTGGCATTATCTGTTTTTCCGTCATCTTTTGAGATGTTTTATCTTGTGTTTGATCTCCCTCTCCTTTTTAAAATGTTTATTTTTATTTTACTATTTTTTTGTGTTTATGTCAGAGGCAAAATATGAAGTTACTGTGCTACTTTGACTAAAGCCTAACATTTCTAGTAAATAAGAGTTTCACTTCATTTACATTTGTACTTTTTAGAAGCTGCAGAAATATTTATTAACTTACAAAGAGATGAGCCATTTTAGACTTTATTTTTGAAAATGAAGGTCGGTTTTAAAATCATAGAAACCTCTTTATATCTCTGTATTGTCAATATTATTGGTTCAAGAACAATCTAAATTGATTTTAAGTATCAGATGGGAAGGAAATATTGATTGACAATATTTTTATGTACTAAAAATTCCATAGGTGATGTTTATTAGGCCTATGGATACCTAACACTTCCACATGGTTTGGTAAGAGAGAGAGTATTTTAAATTGTAGTCCTTAAACTATAAAGATTTTTCTGTAAAAATAGAAAAAATAATCAAAAGGAGAAATTTCTGGGAAGAATGAGAAAGAATTCTTTATTAAAGAAAGATTGCATTGTGACTTTTAAATGAAAATAATGATTTGGTGGCATGGGAATTTTTATATATAGATTTCCTTTATAAGAATATGGAATTTTAATATTGGGGGTATTATCCAACTTTGATTTCAGGAATTAGGAGAGGATTTCAATATATTTTAGAAATCACATATGAAAAACATCCTATCCTTTTAAATAAAACATTTGTGTTTTAAGCCTCATTTTGAAAATTTCAGAAAATACAATAATTTTGCTCAGAGATTAGCCAATTAGTTCTTATTCCTTTATCTTTTAGGTTACTTTGTATGGTTAGGTGCCAAGGATGCATTTACTCTTAACCACATAGACAGCAGGGCTTATCTAAATAGTTCTGTGTGTCACTGCCTGGGCAAGAGCTGCCATCTTCAATTCTATTTCTCCATGGAAAACAGTGTCCTAAGAGTAGGCTTGTACAATAATAAGGTAAGAAGAAATTTGAATTTATTTCAAATTCATTGAATGCATGAAATTTATATTCTTGGAAACTTGTTTTTCTATTTCTCAGTTGTGAGTAGGCTTTAGATATTTTTTAATCTGACTTTATTCAGTATACTGTAAAAACGAATTATTAAGAAGCGAATTTAGTAGAATACTATCATGTATAAAGTTAATATAATGATTTGCATGACACTATTTTATAAAATTGTTAAAATTCATGAATGTATATTAAAGAAACTATAAATCTAATATAAATGAAATATCTGGGATTCTCTACTGTTGAGCTCTGTATTGAAACTCTGATGTGATCTGTTTTGAATTTATATAATAAAAATATGAATATGATGGAAGTAAATAAATTACTTGTTCAGGTATGAGTAGATGTAATTTTTAAGACTGGCAATTATTGATTAAATATAGACAAATGAGTCACTTGAATTTAAAAAAAATGTTTAAATGTGGAGTGGAGTGGACAGGTGGAGTGAACGTTTCATGACCTTCCATCATTCCACGTCTTCTTCCTTCTAGCTCTCCTTGCCCAGCACTCACAGAGAGTTCTCAGCCATAAACTTTAATGAGTCCTCTCATTAGATGGTGTAAGTAAAAACAAACTGGCAAACTGACTGTACAGACTAAGAAAAACAAAACTGTTTTCCTGCTCTCACACAATCAACACTCTCAATAACTCACTTCTGACACCAGACGTGTGGGTATTTTTCCCACACATCAATTCAGTTCAACAACTGGAGATGGTGCAGACGCCATAGGTTGAGCGCTCAGGCCCACAAGGCTGCCCCCCGCTTCAGATGGCGATTGCAAGCCTCAGGTTGTGAGTTGTGCTTCCGATCTACCAGTTATGAATTGGTATTCCCATGGCCGCCTCCCCTCAGGGTTGATAATTTGCTAGGATGGCTCACAGAACTCAGGAAAACACTTTACTCATGTCTAGTCATTTATCATTAAGGAAGCAGATGAACAACCAGTTGGAAGAGAGGCATGGGGCAGGATGTGTGGGAAGGGAAGGAGCTTCCATGCCCTCTCTGGAGGCACCACCCTCCAGGAACTTCCATGTGTTCAGCAATTCAGAAGCTCTCTGAACTCTGTAGTTCAGGGATTTTTATAGAGGATTCATCACCTAGACATCATTGATTATTAGTTCAATCTCTAACCCCTCTCTTCTTTCCAGAAGATGGGGGGAGAGGGTTGAAAGTTCAAGCTTCTAATCACAGCTTGGTCTTTCTGGTCACCAGTCCCTACTCAGGAGCCCACAAAGAGTCATCTCATTAGAACGAAAGGTGCTCCTATGACCCAGGAAATTCCTAGAGATTTGGATTCTCGTGTCAGGAACCAAGGTCAAAAAGCAGATATTAGAACAAAAGATTCTCCTAGCACCCCTATTGCTTAGGAAATTGAAAGAATTTTGGTAACTCGACCAGAAAAGGAGGACAAAGACACACGCACACACACACACACACACACACACACACAATATTTATATTTCCACAAATCACAATATTGCATATGGCCTAATATATTCTCTTTTGTTACTTAGGTGATACATAATTTTCCTGGCATTCTGAAACTATGTTACACTTTTGTGATTTTTGTTTTCAATAGTATTTGACACCCCACTGCCCTACAATCTGTTTGATACATTTCATTACATTTGGTAAGATGTGAGGGATGGAGTTGAAGAGGAGAAAACGTCTCCCTAACCTTCCTGCAGCACTTCAAACTTTCCAGATGCATGGGAGAAATTTTGCAAAACAAACAAACAAACAAACAAAAAAAACAACAGATAAAATTTAACTTTATCCAGATACATTGTACGATTCATGCCTCAATAATATTTGTTATTGTCTCCTGTGCCATATAAACCAATCCTCTATGCAATCTGCAACATTATAATTTCCAAACAAAGGCGCAGTGAAAAAAATTCTAGAATAATTTTGTTGAGTTTAAATTGTAGTTAAAGATGCTTTTAAAAGATTAATATATGGTCCTATGATAATGCTTTTCACATGATAGGTAACTAATTATTGTTCTTAAATATTAAATGAGTTATTATCTTAAATTTAAGTAGAAATTTATATCATACATGTTCTAAACCTGAGGGTTATTTTCATCGGCTTTGAAAATCAGTGGTGATTTTAGAAGTTTGAATAAACGTGGAATGGAATTATGCATTACTGAAAATGAGCAATATCATTTCTCTGGTAGCTTTAGAACGTACAAGAAAGAGTTCAGATACCACATCATAACTCTATTCTTCAAGAATAGAGTTACCAAGATTCCATCTCCCATGTGATATGGAAAGAAGCAAAAGTTAATCATGGCAAACTGATTTCGTGTATAACCAGAACCAATTAGCTGTGCATTTTAGAGAGTGTTGGCCGATGTTTGGTTCATTAGACAATATTCTGCAGTGTGTCCTGTCTTTTCTGAAACTCTATTTGTTATCCTCTCTGTGCATAACACATTGGCCACTGATGCAAAATTCCATCAGAGTACCTTTAAGTCATAAGTTGATGTTTTATCACAAACTTAAAAAGAACTCCAAACCTATCATTTAATAAATAGCTCATGATGAAAATGATCATTTATATCTTCCATGCATAGAATGCTGTTCTCTATTTTGAACACCTATAATTCTGTATGATGTGACCCAGCAATCCAAGAAGTGTCTAGTGAGAATGCTAAGGGGTTGTTTTCTGTATTTCCAGAGGACATTAGAACTTAAGAAGTTGAAAATACAGGTGAAGGCTAGGTGCTATGGCTCACACCTGTAATCCCAGCACTTTGGGAGATCTATGAGGGAGGATGTAGGAATTTGAGGCCAGCCTGGGCAACATAGTGAGACCCCATCTCTAAAAAAAAAAAAATTAAAAACTAGCTGGGCATGGTAGTATGCATCTGTGGTCCCAGCTACTCAGGAGGCTGAGGCAGGAGGATCGCTTGAGCCCAGGAGGTGGAGGCTGCAGTGAGACCTATGATTACACCACTCCACTCCAGCCTGGGCAACAGAGTGATATCCCATTTTGAAAAAATAAAATAAAAGGGAAGAAAAAGAAAATACAGGTGAAGGCAAATTGTTGAATAAAAAGTTCACTCTTTTGAGTTGGCTTAAATGTGGTATAGCAGATTTACCATCTAACTATTCTGGGACTGGATTTCTGAAGTAATAATCATAGCAATGGCCAATTTTTTTTATTCTGAAGATAGTGTCCATAACAATGAGCCATGGATAGTGGGGTGCCCAGTTTGTGGGACCTTTTACATATTTTCTAAATTCCCACCACTCGCAAATGGGGCAAGACAGAAAATGCTTTAGGGAATATTTTTTTTTTCTTTTCAAATATATAATACTCTTTCCAAAGGAAGGTCTTTACCAAATTATTAATACATGGTCCTATCCCCAGATGCAATCAAAAGTAGTTAAAGAAACCCCAACAACCTTGAATTTGATATCTTTGATTACTCTACTGAAAAAGTAAAGAATAAGCTGACATTGCTAAGAAATGTGGAGATAAATATTTTTCTTGACAGGTAAATCAACATTATTGATTTTAGTCTGGAGAAGCAAAGATAATTTTAAAAATTTTATTAACTGATTTCAAGAATATAGAAAATTAGAACATCACTTAAAAACTTTGCAGGGCTGAGGATTTCTTTTGTACATTAATATCTGTTAAAAGTGTAATAATGAAGAAACAGTTTGAGAGTAAAAACAGAAATAAAATAAAACCTTTTAATTTAGTTGGGGTAAATTTTTTAAAAATCATTGCTTCTGCCATCAGACACCTTTAACTTAGTGCATGAAAAGCCATTTAAGTTTGGAAAGAGTTCTGCCCACTTTTCAAACAAACATAAATGCATTCGTCTTCAGGTAGATTAGAGAGGAATCACTTAGTCATTGTGAAAAATGAGCACAATAGCTCTAAGTTATTTTATAAAATGAAAGTGGGGGAAGTGATGAATGCAATTTGCCAAGTGATGTCACTAAAAGCATCTGTGGTGGGTATAAAGTGTCTCAATGCTAAATAACCAAAGTTGTTTAGGAAATAATTAGAAGAAAAATTAGTTGCATTTTCTTAACTTTTTATAACTCCAATCCATCCTGATGTGACATGGAAGCTATCAGCAGAAAATATGTCCCCCCGCCATGTGCTTCATTGTCTGATGGAAGTCTTAACTGTTGACCTGAATAAGTAATGAAGTACATTTTAATGGACTTAGAGTATCTTCTGAAATATGTAGGACCTGGAAATTTGAAGTAGGCATCACGGGGTACAGGACTAAGTTGAAAATAGATTCATTTTTAGAAAATCTCGGACATGAATGAAATAAATGAAGCTGAGTGAGAAGATACATGTTTACAAGAGTCTGAAAAATGATGAGTGTCACAAGTCATTAGGATAACAACTAGAGGTCAGCTTCCAGGGCTGTTTTCTGTCTCATACTAGAAGGTGGTCATAGAGCCAGTTTCACAGCTCAACCTGAGACATAATTATGTCATTCTCCACATTTTCACTACATTGATACATGGAAAGTCAATGCATCCTATAGGCAAATATCATGAACAATGTGGTCTATTTTTCTCTAGGAAATGTCAAATTATTAATAACTTGAATGTCTGATAAAATCTAAACAAAAATAGGATTATTTCAGAGCACGAGAGCATGGTCATAAATCATAAAGACCAATAATACCATAGGCACAGTTTTCAAGTACATTATAGACTTATTGTCTTACTTCAAAGCGTGTAGTGACAATTTTACATACATATTGCAACCTAAAAAATAATCATTATACAGGTGTATGACATAGCATTTTCCAGAAGATGTAAAAAGGCCTTTGATAGAATGGCCAGAAGAGTCAAACTGTAAGAATATAATCTCCAGAAAATAACTGGATTGTTTGAAACTTGGAATGAATTTTCCCATGGGACAACATTTAATATAAATTAAGACTATACTATTCAGCTCTAAGAAACAACGGTGATATAGCACATCTTATATTTTCCTGGTTAGAGCTGGAACCCATACTATTAAGTGAAGTATCCCAAGAATGGAAAAACAAACACCACATATACTCACCAGCAAACTGGTATTAACTGAGCAGCACCTAAATGGACACATAGGTACTATAGTGATTGGGTATTGGGCAGGAGGGAGGGGGCAGGGGGGTGGGTATATACATACATAATGAGTGAGATGTGCACCATCTGGGGGATGGTCATGCTGGAAGCTCAGACTTGTGGGGGAAGGGACGGAAGGGCATTTTTTGAAACCTTAACATTTGTATCCCCATAATATGCCGGAAAAAAAAGACTATACAGAAAATGAATCTGATAACATTTTTAAAAATTTTTATATTAAATGTTTCTCTATTATTTCTTTATTATCTAATATCATGGCAATATTACAAAATGCAATAATGTTATTGGGATCAGCATTTAAATTGCTGGTTTATCAATTGTTATTTAGAATTTTATTTGTGAAGAATAGTATTTTAATTCTTTTAAGTTTCCATTCACAGTTTTGTTTTGTTCTCATACTCTTTATCCATGAATAAAAAGCAGCTTTACTAAATAGACATGCTTTATTTCCCTGTTTTTTAAAAACAATTATTTCAGCTTTTCATTTTTAGTAACAATATTTAAATTTCTCAGTACTTGATATCATGCAGATAGGGTAATCCCTACTACTGATTTAATTAAGGGAGTATGTTTATAAATGTGAGAGTAGAAATTGGGAAATGATTAATGTCTTTCTCTTCAAAGGAAGAAGGAGTATTTTGGACATACAACACATCAACTGACAGCAAGTGGGTGAAAGCAGATGTGTTAATACCAGAAGGTCTGAAGACATTTAAGGTATAAAAAGGGAAAAAAATATTTTTAAACATAAATTTAACTTTTATCTTTGCAATAGTGAATTTATCATCACTGCTAAATTTACATTAGCATTTAAATTAGGGATGTAGTCTTGTGTAATTGGGGAGAATGATTACCTACTTACTTCTTTTTACTGTACATGGCCCTTCTCAGGCCAAATTTCTCAAGGGTAGAGGGACCAGAATGTGTCTACTCTTGTTTAAAGGTTTTTTATTCTTCGTGGGTTTCCTTCCTAGCACCCCCCAGCACCATGCATGGCACCCAGGGAAGCAAACTGCATTATGAACCAGATAAATAGTAAACTAGTATTGAAATTCAATGGCGTATGTTTTGAATGCAGTGATTCATTTATTTATGTCATGTGGATGATTCTATATACATCTGAAACATACACAGGCTCAGTGGGAATGCTGTCTCTTAAAAAAATTAACATATATTTTGTGTTGTATATAGAGTATGTAGGTGTATTTATGCTGAGTCTGAGTATAAAATGATAGGATTGATTGTATGTGTGGCTTATGAAACCAATTTCATTCCTTTATGGAAATACCACATTCATACTTTGTTCCAGGTATTAAAATGAAGAACCCAAAGGATAGTGGAGGTAAAACCATGCAGACTTTCAGAATTACATGTCATGTGAGGTTGGGATTTTCAAACCATAGCATTTTTGCAGCAGTCTTAACAAAGTTGAAGTTTATGGCACAGCCTATTGAGTTAACATTTTGGCGCTGTCGTAATTTTTATAAGTTGATGTCTATATTTATAACTTCTGAACGAAATACTCGACAAGTTTCTTTTGTTTTTCATAAACTGAAGATTAAAGTTTGTTTTGTTTCATAACTAAAAGATAAACAAAGTAAAATGCAAAGAAAATAAATTTAGGAATTATTCTAGTTTTCAAAGTACACTTGAAATATAACTAGCTTTTCAATAATGGTAGGCTTCTGAAATTTTAGTTTAAACTGGTCAATTTTTAGAACCCCAACTGATACCATTTTTGCATACCTGACCTCTTACTGCTTTGAAAATATGCAGGTGTATGTCCAGTAATTTTCATGTATTCATATACAATGAATATGTGATATTCATTGCAGAGAAAGTATATAACAGCATACAAAGTTTTATTATTATTATATAAGATTTAAATTTAATACTATTTCCTAAACTGAATTGTTAGATATATTTTCAAACTGAAATTTCATCTTACATATTTCTTAACTGACAAATGTATGTCCCTCATGTCTTTGAAAAGAAGAAAATCTGTTTAAAAACTTTAAGGTGGACAAAACTGAAAGAAGTCAATCTTTATTCCTGGTATCTTACCGAAACTTCAACAACATCCAGTTCAGTGCTATTCAGTGGAACTTTCTGCAGTAATGGAAATTTCCTATATCTGCTGTGCAATACACTATCTACTAGTCACATGGGGCTATTGAGCAATTTGGCTAGTATTACTGATAAACTAAATTTTAATTTTATTTTAATTAATTTAAATTGAAGTAGTCCTAGGTATCCAGTGGCTACCATACTGGACAGCAGAGAATTAGTTATTTGTTGGTATAGTCTGCTGTTTATATTTCTGTACTCTTGGTGTTATCTAACCATTGCTCATGGTAGGACCTCAAGGAAGACTAACACTTTGACATTATCTTACACTTGACTAGCAATGTATGGTTGTTTCACTTGCTAGAATTGTGTACCTCCAGAAAAACTAGCAATTTCTTTGGAGAAAATAAGATTTATTTCCTTTAATTGTCACTTGTTATTAAATAAATTATTCTTTTATGCAAATTTTTTATATTTATTTCTTTAAAGTTCTAGTCTTACACTGTATACCTTCCTGTTTGCCTGATTTTTTTCATGTATCTGAATATTAATTTCAGTAGTTAAAAAACAAATGAGATGTGGTTATAGCTCTTGTTGTATAAATAGTAACAATACTTATGGTTTTCCTTGAAAATGAAAGAAAACAGAGCTGTAAAGATCATGAGCAAGTAAGGCGTCTGCAGTCAGGGACATTGTCGATGGTTAAGTGGGACACTGTATTTTGTGTGATCTTGAGTGGTTTCTCAAAGATCGTAGTGGAGCAAATGTGTCCATCAGTCTTACAAGCATGGATCAGGCTTATCAAATAGGAACTTTTTTACATGTTGCATTTGGTTGCTCTTTAAACAGATGTTTTTTCTTCAATAAATATTTGATCTCTATTATCCTTCTTTTGCTTTTTTTGTCTTTTAAAAGAGATTATAAGCTTGATCATTTTTTTTTTTTTTCCTGAAGGTTGTTTTTGAAGGGACTATTTTGAGCCAGAAAAGTTTCATTGGGCTGGATCAGCTCTGGGTCTATGCCTGTGGACAGGCCCCACCCAGAAAGCTTTGCTCTGTAGATGAATTCCCTTGTGCCAGTGGCCAGTGCATTGCCCAAGAATCTGTCTGTGACTCTCGACAAGACTGCTCCGATGAGAGTGACGAGGACCCAGCAACTTGCTGTAAGTGAACTAATGGTTCATTCATTTCCATGCTGTAATTTGAGATTGTCAGTAGGATTTAAAATAGCCTTTGTCGAGCTAGGTAAAAGTAATATGTGTGAAATAAGATGAATGTGCATTCTTGCTCTGAAACTATTAGCACTATTTCTTCAAGGGTCGCTATGATAATTTAGCGTTTTGGTGCTGGTTGCTAAGACTGCAAAATCTGTTTGTTTAACAAATGAATAGTTGTGATTACTGTTGTGTGTGCATGTGAATATGTGCGCTTTGGGTAGAGAAGAAAATGGGGTGAAGAGGGAACCTCTTTGTACTTTCCCATTGGAGGTACATGGTATGAGTTGCTAACTTTTATTGAATGTGTGCTTTTCCCCCCTCTAACCAATTATCCAATTATCTTGGACCCTGTGGGGAGAGGGAAAAAGAGGAGGTGGACTTCCATTGCTTCTAGAAATTGCTTCAGCCATGACTGGTGTTCAGCAGGGCAAAAAATAAAAATAAAAAAGGCCCAACTCCTTCCTTTCAGGCCTGTCTGAAGAATCTTTGATAGAAGTGATGACAAGAGATCCCATTACTATTCAAGCCCAGTCATATTTCAAAGAAAATATAATTTAATTTACAGCCCACATGATGGTTCTCATGTGAGGTAACTTAGCAACTAAGATTATCATGTCTCTTTAGAAACCGTGAATTTTAACTAAATGAATGCCATTTTTATATCACAAACAAGTGGCTTTTAAGAACACATTAAAATTTTGACATTTATTTTATGATAGTGTTTTATTTTAGTGAGATATTATGTTGAGCAGAGGGAAAATATTGTAAGATACATGCTACCTTATTAATGAAAATCCTCTGTACAATACGCTTCTTTTGATGGGTAAGGATTTTATTAAGAGCAATGGAGAGAAAGAAACATGGGGCAGAGGAAGTGAGAATGCAAGGGAGAAACCCCCTTCTGGCCTGTTTGTGAACAGCAATTCCATTAATTTCTCAAACACCTATCTTTAAATGAAATAATCTACCAACCAATATGATCTCAATAGAGTTTTTGGGTGGCTCTTTCAAAAAGAACAATGTGAGGACAATTTATTTGCTCTAATATTAGTATGTCAGATTCCTTTCTGTACTTTATTTAATTTTTTTTCAGACAATTTGGTTCTTTTCTATTGGGGAAATTCATCTTTCTAACAGTTTCTATTATTCTTAATTTCAATAATGGAAAGGAAGTATATTTCCTTTCTTTCCCATTGTAGTTTTGGAAGTTTAGCTTTTTTCCTCCCTTTTTTTCCTTGTAGTAAGGCAGTCTGTATGCCCCCCTTCTTTTAACCCATTTTCTTAATTGAATGCCACCCAGAGTATTAGTAGATATTTTAGCATTTGATTTTGGACATATTTTCCCATTTCTCTTCCTTTATTGAAGTTGCATGGATTATTCATCTGGTATTTTCCCAATTCAATAGGTCTGAATACCATTCTGCTATTTTCTTTAGGTGAATATAGAAACAGGTAACTGTTTTTATGAACAAAAGTTGTATTCTTCACTAGTCTTTGAAGTTTCCCAAATAATGTAACTGCATTTGTCTAAAGAAAACCTGTCCTGTTTGCTTGATTGGGATCAACTTAATATAGTGGATATGACATAAGAATGTAGCCATATTACATATGGTACATATACGTATTTATATATTACTATTTTGATGTCAAATGAGTATTTCATGTAAATATTTTATAATTAGTTTTGCTGTGAAGAAATCATTTACATAGATTTGAATTATTAGAATGGATATAAATTTATGCTATTTTCTACACCAAACTATTTAGTGTATTTGTACATATAGACACATGTATATGTATATTATAAAATGAGAGGCTTTCCTTTGAAATTTAAAATCACTTTGCAGTATTTTTCACATACTTTTACATTTGCATTTCACAAATTTAAATTTGTAATACAGAGGTTTTTTTTTTTTTATAAATAAAGATTCCAAGTTCACAAACCCTTCCCCTGCCCCCCACCCAGTGCCACTATAACTTCTTTTCATCCCACTTTAGAATAAATGTCTAGGAGGGTAAACTTGTACAGGCAGGTTGAATAGCACCAGGAATGCTTGACATATTCTGGAGAATGAGTGATAGGAACTCGTGAAGATTGTCAGCTGGTATTCTTCAGTCAAGGCTTTCCCCAAAAGGCAGGCTCACTCAGGTGTTCTTTCATTATCAAGTATCATTATCAAGTTGCCCTCACTCTTAGGTACTATTTTAATATATGTAGTTACTGAGCTTCCAGCCCAGTGGCTTCTCAAAAGCAGTTACTCTTCAAGGGCCAGTGGGTTTTGCTAGCGTTTTGCAGCTATAGCAAACTCCGTGGACTGGAGCATCAACATCACCTGGGAACTTGTTCAAAATGCAGGACCTCAGGCCTTAGCCCAGCTTCCTAGAACCAAAAACCACATTTTAATAATGTCCCAGGTGACTCATCTGCATGTTAAACTTTGAGAACCTCTGTGCCAAAGAGGCTTCAGAAATGAAGATAGCTGAGGGAGGAAACAGATGGTGTATAAAAATATTGACAAAAAACTAAAGGCAGACTAGTCATAGACCTCTCAGGATAGAAGGAAAAACTCTCATTACTTTACCAGAACCTAAGAGTATCACGAAGATATCAATCAATAGAATTTTGACATTTACTAACATGATCCTGTGTAAAATAGGGACAGTTAAGATTAAAATATATCCACATTCCCAGGTTCATTGCAACATCATTCACAGTAGCCAAAATATGGAAATAACCTCAGTCTCTTGGCAAAGGATTAATGGATAAAAATCCAAAAAGTGGTGTGTATATATTCACACACAAACACAATGGAATGCTATTCAACAATAAAAAAGAGGAAAATCCTGCCATTTGTGACAAGAAGGGCAAACCTGAAGGGCATTATGCTAAGTGAAATAAGCCAGGCAGAGAACCTAAAAAGCTGAACTCATAGAAAGAGAGAGTAGTAGGGTGGTGGTTACCAGAAGCTGGGGCAAGTGGGAAATGGGGAGATGTTGGTCCAAGGGTAGAAATGTTCAGTTATCAGATGAAAAAGTTCTGAGGATCTAATGTGCAGCAAAATGACTATAGTTACTAACACTTTATACTTGAAGTTAGCTAAGAGAGTAGATCTTAACTGTTCTCACTACACACACACACACACACACACACACACACACACACACGGTAACTATCTGAGTATATAAGTTAATTGGCTTTACTGTGGTTGTCATTTCACCATGTATATCATTTCACCATGTACATTGTGCACTTTAAATAGATACAATTTTATTTGTCAATTATATATCAACAAAGTTGGAAAAAGTAATAAAATATATATGCAATATATTTTAAAATATTTTTATCAAAATAATTCAAATATAATATGTGCCAAACATATCCAAAGGTATACGTTGGGTAGCTGAACAATTTACATGTATAGTATATCTAATTTTCAGACACATGCTATAACAGGAATGAACCTTGAATACGTTATGCTAAGTTAAAATAAACCAGACACAAAAGGACAAATATTTGTATGATTACACTTATATGAGGTCCCTAGAGCAGTCAAATTCATAGAAGAACTTAGAATGGTGGTTACCAGGATAAGAGGAAGTAGAAGTTAGTGTTTCATGAGCGTGGAGTTTCAGTTTGGGAAGAAGAAAAAGTTCTGGAGATGGCTGGTGGTGGAAATTTACTTAATGCCACAGAACTTTACACTTAAAAATTGTTAAAATGTTAAATTTTCTATCATGTATTTTTTACCACAGTAAAATACACACATATTTATATTTTTTAATAAAATTTTCATTAATTACATACAAAAATATGTACGTATTTTTTTCCCATTGTGTTCCAAAAAGGTCAAAGGATAGACATATCTGTGTTTGCATCAAAATAGTTCGGGAAATTCCATGGATAAAAGGGTTTTCAAATTGTAGGACTTTTTAGAACACTTAAAATGCTAATATGAGTTGTGAATCTTCAAAGGGGAAGTCAGTGTAACAGTCAAGTGAAAGAAGTGAAACCAAGGGTCCTGTGCGATACATTTAATTTTTACTGTGATACGGTCTCTAGTGGTCTTTCATATCTAAAAAATTATTGAATTCTAAAACACTTTCTGAGGGGAAAGGGAAATACTGATATATGTGCTTAGTGTAGCAATGATCCTTGTGGGTTCTCAACATATATTAACAGAATTTTTATAATATAATCTTATTAAAATATAATATTTGCTCCTCATATAAAATATTCCCCATTCACTTCTCATACATAACTTTTTCCTTATATCATAGAAATCTGATTCACTTCTGGAGGATTCATAAAATATTTTACTTTTCATGATACAGGATTTTCCTTAGCTGTCACAATGAAATTCTTTTTCTACTCCCCATATTCTGCAGTAGTTAGATATGCAAGAGAAAGCTTTGTCATCATCTGAAAATATTACTCTAATGGATGAACTCTGAGTGGAATTTATCTAAAATTGTGAACAGTGTCATATCTTATACTTTGCTTAGAGATGGTGAAATGTATTCTATAATCACAGAAAGTTAAAATAAAAGCAACCAAATAATCAAAATCACTGTTTATAATGAATATACTTTATAACATAAATAGATGATTTTTTTAGATTTTAAAAATATTTAGCGTCTAACACATCTAGTATGATAAGGTACGATAGTTGCCAGAATATATTTGACTCTTGGCTTTCTTCAGATATTTACAACTTCACATTACACTTTTTGAATTATGTAGGGGAGATATTAATGGAAGAACCTCAGCTTAGGCAACTAGAATGTGACTTATTTATAGGGCAGTTAAGCTCCAGAATATTTAGCTTTAAAAAAAAAAATCCTTTTATGTGTATAGGAACAAATGTCATTGGTGAAAACAGCTGAGCAATTCAACAAGATTTTTACAGAGCTGATTGTACCACATTGCTCTCACATATCTTTATGGTGATAGAATTCAAACATTAACTTTCATTTTTCAAAGAACAGTGGTGTTTAGTGTTCTGTGCAAAACACAATGATTTACATTTTAATTGATAAAATATCTAGCTAATGAAAGAAATGGTTTGAACTTCTGTGATAAATCCAAATTTCAACATTTATGTTAATGTAATCTAAAGTTGTTTTTATCTTGAAATATTCTTGATTTACATCTTTGCTGTTGAGTGATGCAGGCTAACTTGTGAAGAGTCTAAGGGTGATGGACTGGTCATGTGGTACTCCCCATTTTCATACTCATTGGTCTTATAGCCATTTCACACCACTGCCTTGTTGGGAAATTAGAATGGTGCCTTCAGTGGCCACCTTCAGTGAAGAAGATTGTTGTTTGTGTGGACTTGCTTCATTTGTGTAGTAATGTATAATTTACTGCCCCAACACTGCAATGTTGAATTTATTACCCAAACAGGGACAGTGAGAGGGAAAAGAAGAGGTATTAATTATTATGCTAGGACAACAGGCATACTCTGGGGCAGTCCTGAGCCAGGCCAGATGAGTGGTCATTCCACCCATGGAAAGTTTTCTATTCCAGGGAAGTATCTCTGTAGGAATTGGGGTACCCTTCCCAGTAAGTGTGTGGATTCCTTGGCCAACTCCGCAGCCAAGAATTTGGAACTTTTAAGCACATTTTCGAGATCATGTATGTACTCTGAGTCTTGACTATTTCTACAATCCACCAACTGACTTAGAAAAGCTGGGAAATGGCCTAGAAGGTGGAGGAGCTCTCAGGGCACCAAGGTACTAGACTAGAGCATCATCTGAATGCCCAAGGAGATAGTTATGTCTAAGTTACAGGTGTTTAAGACTGTGTCAAAAAACAGAAGAGACTCTCCTTTGGGGAGTAACTTTTTATCAATAGCCATATCCTATAAACTGTGTAGCAAGAGCTGAGAAGAGAAAAGCATATTCAGAGCAGAAAGAGAGGGGGAAAAAAATATCCAAGAGCAATAGATTTCCAGTTAAGTATATGAGTGAACTGCACTTCCTTGTGATTTTGGTGCCCGTTAGGTACTGTGCAACATCTTTTTATTATTATACTGTGGTAGATTTACTTGTTTTTGTTTTGGGGTAAATCCATTTAGAAGAGGAAATAATATTTGCTTGTAACAGAAGAAATGGTATACTAAAATCTGACAGGTCTCCCAGTTGGTGCTGGGGAACCTACAAATCTGAAAATGGGCCATTCTGCATCCAGTGAATACTGGATTTTCAAACTGTGGTTGGTTGAATCCTTGGATGCAGATAGCTGACTGTCTATACATTTTATTATAAAAAGCATGACTTTGAGATCTAAAACATTCAATTTACCCATAGGGGAAAGTTTAAGTGTCCTTATCATTTGCACATTGCACTTAAATGTTTTAGGAGTTGACGTGTTAATGATGAAATATCTGGACATGAAACCAGGCATCCCTGTTTACAGAGATTTGAAGATTCTTTCATTAATAAGATATAGTGAGCTTATTCAATATGTCAATCAAATTGGTTGTGCCATTTAAATTTAAAATGGAGAGTAATGATTAGAAATAAGCACATAGTGATGGGTTCTTTTTAATTATGAGATAAAGTTCCTACTTTAGAGAGGCTTCATAGTACAAGATTTGGTGTTAGACAGTCCTAGGTTCAAAGTGTACATGGTGCATTTACTAAAATTTGCCACAAGCAAATTGCTTAGTATTCTAAGTTTCATTTTTTTTTTTTTTGGAGACTATTATACTTACCATGTAGGGTATTTGTGAGAACTAAGATTAATATATGTAAAATACCTGGCACATACTTAGAACTCAGTGGCAACATGTGTATTGTTACTAAAGATGAGAGCATTAGGATCTTACGGAGCTTGATCAACACCTCAGTGGACATATAGGAATAACATTTATTGGGTGTCGGGCAAATGGGAGGGGGGAGGAGGGGATGGTTATATACAAACACAATGAGTGAGATGTGCAACGTTTGGGGGATGGTCATGCTTGAGGCTCTGACTCGAGGGGGGAGGGGAGCATGGGCAATATATGTAACCTTAACACTTATACCCCCATAATACACTAAAATAAAAAAAAAAGACTTTCGATGTTTTCGGACAAAAAAATTACTGCCTTTCCCTCCTTCACTGTTATAAAAATGCTTCGGCATAAAAGAGGAATATTTGGAAATAGGTTTTTAAATTAATTGTGCTCATTTATCCTCAAAAGTACTATCTAAGATTGTCTGATACTATAATTCTTATTTTACAGAAAGGGAATTTAAGCACCTAAAAACTAATTTCTCAAAAGCACAAATCAAGTTGTTAGAACTGAATTTCTACTTTACTGTCCTCTGAAACCTGTTATTTTTTTTTCTCATGAATTTGGTGTCAAAGCTAGCAGAGATGCTTGTGAAGCATACCCCAAACCCTGACTTTCTCTAGAACTGATTCTTCTATGATAAGTGTGGGAACTTAAGTATTTGCCAACTTTCTAATTAGGTATTAAGAGAAGAAAAGATCAGTTCAGAATATCTAATTTATTAATACCTGCAATTTAAAAATGGCTAGGCATTTTCTTGGGAGGAACTGTTAAAATAGAATAAATGAAATGAATACTGAGACACTGACCTCAAGTTCTTCAGGTGTCCAGAATTAATTTAAATTTCCTCCTTTCAAGTGGATTTTTTTTTAAACTACTATCTCAGCAGGTTTATACTGGGCAGGCAAATTAGTTGCTTCCTGAAAAACTCCAGAGTTCTACTTTGCCTCATTAAATACAATGGAGATGGCCAACTAGGATGACTTGTGCAAGACTTGCAGATAGAAGCGTGTAGAAGGGCCACGTCTCACACCAGCACATAGGCAATTGTGTGAGGCTGGGAAAAGGAAAGCTGTTGTAATAGAAAACATTCACTACCAAGCAGAATGATTGTGTTGACCTCAGTTGATTGGCTTAATGTAGAGTTAATGAGTCACTGCAGATTCTTATTTCATTTCTTTTTACCCATTTTCTTTTCCATGTGCAACAGCAAATCATCTCACGTGTGACTTTGAATCTGGTTTCTGCGGCTGGGAGCCATTTCTCACAGAAGATTCACACTGGGAGATGGTGAAGGGATCGAACAACAGAGAGCACCCTTTTCCCAAAGCTGATCACATAGCAAACATAAATCATGGTAGGACATTTTCCTCTTTAAAAAAAAAAAAATCAGTTTTCTTTCTTTCATGTGTGAAATGATGATACTGTGTATTTTCATTTCCCTCTGTAGACTATATAAATGAAACTATGGCTTATCTTTCTTTAAAACCTCCTGGCCGACTTAATAATTAGTGGCTAATTGAGTTTCCCAAAAGGAGCATTGCTTTAACATTTTTTTGTTGCTGCATTTTTTTAAAAGGTTGGACTGAAGGCATTAAGAGCAGGGAAAGTTTTCTGGTAATTCTCTCTAGTTGCCAGGAATCAGGTACAGTAGGCTTGCCTTCTTTTTAGAGCAATCCAATTTTTTTGCAAAACAGAAAGAAAAATAGTCTAATCTTCTTTCTGGGAACTGAGAACAGAGATTTAGCACTATCTATAAAATAAATCTACAAATACTTGAATGCAATTTAATCATTCTTCAGGCTTCTTTATAACAAATACTCTTATTTCTTCCACATATATATTTTTAACCACCATCATGTTTACATATCCTCTCAAAATAGAGAAGCCATAACTGCACATAGCATTTTAATAAGGGTTTATGAAACTCCACAAAAAACAGAAAAGATTTTTTTTCTCTTTTTTCTTTTGTTTTGTTTACATTTATATGGCATCAGATATTGCTCATAAACATTAGTATCACATTAACTTTATAATAATACAACTGTACTATAGATCTTCTTTTATGCTCATTGAACAGTATCCTACATGTTTCTCCTTGCAGCCTATGTCAAAAATAAATGTTGACCATGTTTTTAATTACAGCCATTGGAAACTGGAGTAAGAATCTGAGAGTTTTTAAAGTGGAATAATTTCTCAAAATGATCTTTCCTACTCTATTCTTTTATAGGTGAAACATGAAGAATGTAATGAACTTGCATATACTATTTCCCATTACTTTTAGTTTGGAATTTGGGAACAGTAACCTTTATCCTTCCCAGTTGGCTTTGAGATTTAAAGCCAATGTAAACTGGATTTTTTTTTTTTCTCCACTCAGAGATGACACTGCTGACATGTAAACTTGGTTGTTAGATTAAACACATGGTAGAGTCTATAAAATAATACATTTTAATTCCGAAATGCTCCCTTTTTGTGCAGTCAGCATTGACCTGTATCTAAGAAAGTTGCTCTTCAAACGTGGTGTTTTCCAGTGAAAACAGTCGGCTTTCCAAGTTGCCCATCACTTCATGATTATCAAAGGGCAGGATCAGACCTTGAGATTGTTTGGCATAGCCCTCCTTGTAAGTTTTCAATATTCAATGAAGCTACCCCTGACAGCAGCTCAAAACGTGTGATCCTTTAAGCTGCTAAGAGATGTTATCCCCCCGTACGTTTGCCATGAGCACATCCACTGTAGTTAAAAATCTAAAAGCAGTTATTTTGTTAATGTTCAGATTAGATCTTTAATTAAGCTTTCATCCCCTCTAGCACAGACAACAATGTCAAACATGTAAGCCCCAGGAGAAACCAAACTCATTCCATAGGCTCATATCCTTCAGTACTTTGTGAAGGAAAATGAAAAACAAAGCTCCTGTGGGAACTTTATAAGGGCGTGTTGAATATCTAATTGTAAGCTTAGAAGCTTCATTCGGTTTGACTTCATGCAAACTCTAGGACATGAGTGAAGCCAATAAAAATATTTATTTAGTTGATTTGGATCAAGAGCTTGTTTTTAACTGGTTGAATTTTATTTTAGATATTTAGCATTATACATATGAAAATGCTTTTTGGTAAATAAATAAAAATGTCCTTTAAAAAAAATCTGATCAACAGTTGAATGTGTGCAAGGATCAGGTGCCAGAGCAAAGAACTGCTAAATGTGCAACAGAATTTGCATCCATATGCCGTGGCTTTTTTTTTTTTTTTTTTTTTTAGGATCATTTATTTATGTTGAGGCACGTCAATTCCCTGGAGTGGCCAAGCTGGGAAGTCCTATCCTTACAAAATTGCTCACTTCCTCTACCCCATGTCAGGTAATCAACTGTTCCTCATTTCCATTGACCATTCTGTGGTTGTAAATCACTGGACTTGGGTTGCTCTGCTAGTAAAACGCCTGCCATGTTTTACTATCATTTTCATGTTGAATTAAGAGATTTATATGAGCTATTTCAACACGAAATGCCATGTCCTTCCAGAAGAGCATTTGTAACATGTAACCTGCACTGTTCTTTTTGGGGGCTGTCAAGGAAACTTTCTGTTATTTTATATTCTTTTCACATAGTTCTTTCAATAACCTAAAGCTGTGGATACATGTTGCCAAAATTACTTGTTATTTTGGCCAACCATGTTGATTGGGTAAAATAAAATCAGTTTTAAATAAGTGTTTGTTGAAAGAAAGATAAAAGGATGAGTAGAGATAAATATATATAAAAAATAATCACGTTTACTGAAATTATATTTTTTCAGTGAGTTCTCTCGTGCCAAGTAAACACAGACTAAGCAGTAAAGTACCCATTCCATTCCTACTGTGTGTTAGAGGAGAAAGTAGGAGGACTTTGGAAGTCAATGCTGGCTCAAATCTCAGTTGCACTACTTACTAATTGTGGTGCAGACCGATTGTATATCCCCTTTAAGATTCAATGCCTCTTTCACACAGTTGTGAGGATTAAAATGTGATTAAATAAAGCACCTGGTGAAGTATTTGGTACATAGTAGGTATTCAGTAAGCATAATTCCTTTACTTTCCATAAAACTAACATCTAACTCAGATGTTTCTGTTCAGGCTGCCTTGTTTTCAATTCTTTTGAGAGTTCCGACATGCCTCCAAGCCTTGCGGATTTCAGCTCATTTTTTTTTTTTTTATCTTATCAGAAAATAATGAAGAGATCAATACTGCTACACACTAAATTCATTGCCTATAAATGTAGGCTCAGAGCAGTTTACCTGGCCATTCCCAATGATAAATTACATAGCATTCAGAGGTATGAACCTAATTATATGTTCAGCTTCACAGAAGTCTGAAAAGAAGTGCCCAGAGCTCCTAATAGGTTGTCCCTTTCTTTTTCTTCTCCTTTCCTTGTCTTTCCTTCCCACTTCTTTGTGGATATAAGGATTAAAATAACTTCCTATTCTCTACTTTCATCTCATCCAAATGCCCAGTCTCTGTTCTGACCCTTCTTTTATTTTAATTAAATTCCGTGTGATAGAGAGAAAGATAGATATAGTTGTTTTTAAGAACTCCAGAACTTACTTGCTTTTTAAAAGTATAGGGTAACTTAACTTTAATTCAAAGTCCCACATTGATGTGGTGAGATCACTATTGCTATATACAAAAATAAATTATATGCAAAGGAATAAAATGTGTTAATACTGCCCACTTCACAGAAATTTGAAAACAAACATTAAGAGCTTATCAGAAATTCCTATGACTCACTGAGAGTCACTGAGAAATCATGTGTATATGTGTATATAAGTATACAGATATATATTTATGTTCTTTTTAAAGATGATCTAAATTTCCCATCATTGTATGCTTCCTGGTAGCCATTAATTTGTGGTGATTGGAATTGAATTTCAATTTATTGTTGTTTCCACTTGAGGACACCTTCTTTCCTCTTCCTTAAATTTGTAGTTTAGCTGTGGGGGTTTATTTAGGTGGAGCATCAGTGAAAATACTGTTGTGGATGGTCTAGGCACTTGATACTTTATCTCAGAACCAAGAGTTCAATCTCCAAAGCTGCAGATACTAACTTAATGGTTTGCCTTGTTTATTGGAAAACTGAAAATGCTTCAAGGAGCCAATAAAGACTGCTGGAAGAGGTATCTGTTTTTCACTTTTGTCTCTATCTGCTTGAACTTTAATAATCTTTGAGTTAGAAGGAGAAATATTTGGATTACTTGGTAATACTTTCCAGTTTAGGGAGTCGTAGTGGACTGTAGGAGAAGGTTATTTACAGTCTGAGATACACACAGCTGATGTTCTCTTTTCTAAGAGTATAACATGAACTTTTTATAAGTTTGTGGTGCTATGTGATACTTTCTTTCATGAAAGTTACAGAATCAGCAAACAAGCCAAATTCTTACTTTCTTGGGTAATTGGAAAATCCAGCTGATCTTCTGAATGGAAACATACAAATTATAGTTGTTTTCCTGGAACAAATGTTCTTCATTATAAAATGGTAAAGTGAGGCAGTGAGATAACCAAAGTTGGGCACTGCGACATGATTAAAGCCTTCATTTTTTGAAATTATATGATATTTTCCTACATAGTCATATCAGGCTAATACAGTTAAGAATTTTTCTAAAAGGACTTTAAAGGAACATGGGCTTTCTTCTGAGTTGCCTTTTCTAACAGCACAATTTTAGGGTCATTTCTCATTGATTACCTTGTACTTTATGTATAGTCAACACATGGCATCCACATGTACAATTGTTCCTACAACTAATCATTGTTCAAGATGTGGACTTTTATTTAAGCTTCAAAAGTTCCTTCAGCCACTGGTGGAAACTTGGCATTTTTCCTTGAAATATGAAATGGGACAAACAAAATGTGGGGAAGCCAGAAGGTATTATTTATTATTGCTGTTAAAAGGCAGTTACTATTTACAATTAACTAGGAAATATAAACTATGAAAGGAATTAATGTGAGTACTAATGTTTTCTGAGTTATCATATTTGGATTACTGTGTAAGCAACACAATACCTTACATTTAAGGGTTTGTAGTTAAATACAGGAAGATTATTAATATGAAGCTTTTGCTTTTAATATTAGCTTTTATGGTCATCTATTTTTCTTTTGCTTATAATTTTCCAACTTGTTTTGCAATTACTGTAATATTCTTTCAATAAAATAATTCATCATGTTTTTAAAGAAAGTATATAAATGAGGCTATCAGGACAATGACAGTTGAAGCAAGAGATGGGTTACTTCCTAAAAGTAAAGTTTATTAGGGTTAGGCACACATTTGAGCCTGTTTTCCAGAAGCCAGTGATGAGAGGGACACATTTGGTTTGGATTCAAGTATGTAAAAAGAAATAAACAAAACCCAAAATAGTTCTTCAGAGATGTCTCCCCTGAGTGTTCACAATGATATCAATATAAACATTCCATTGGTGATTTAACACACATATGTTGCTTACCTTCTCTGTGATCACAGTTCTCAATACTCTGAATACCCAGGAAAAAGTGTAATTATGACTAAGGGTTGTAAAAATCACTATGGTAATGGTGAGGGGTGTGTGTGTGTGTGTGTGTGTGAGATAACATTTGCCTCTCAGATTTATAAGAAGCCAGAGAGAAGGATCCTGGGGAACTTCCATGGAAGCTGTGCACTGCCCATGACTGTGTGGACAAATACACGTTCTCAAACTTGTCTCAGCAGCATGCTGATGTCCTATTTATATAGATAGCTCTTCAGCATGTGTTAAAAATAACAGTTTTTGTAGCTGCCTTGAAACTTGTCTTAGGGGTAAAATATAAAGGGTGGCAAAGGAAGGCCTTAGCAGTTTCTGGGGTTGCATACTTGGAGGAAAGGAGAATTAAGATGATTATATTGAATACCAAAGTTGTTTGATATATTTTAAGTTGTAGAAAAGCTACTAGAGACAGGTAACTAGAAGATTTATATCATCTAAAATATTTTTTTCAACAGGTACGGTTTTGGTATCGTTTGTCTCAGCACTCACATCTCTCAGTTTTTACAAGAACCTCACTCAATGGGAATTTGCAAAAGCAGGGTGAAATAATTGGATTCTCTGGTTCTCAGTGGAGCCAAGCCAAAATCGATCTCCATGCAAAAGCCGGAGAATCTACACTGCCTTTCCAGGTGAGCACATTAGGAATTAATACAACTCATCAGAAGAACATTTATTTAATGCAAATCCTTTCAGACAATAAAATAACACACATGCCCCATGAATTTATTCAACATTACTAAAGTGAACAGAGACCAAACACATAATCAGCAATGAGTAGAGAGGTTATTTTGACTAAGTGCTCAAGGTTTAAGAGTAGCAAAAGTGGAGATAAAAATTGAATAAGATGGCAGAAACGAGAATCATTTAAAAGGAATGTTTTTTGTTTTTTCCTAAATGAGGATGGTGGATTATATGAGGTAGTGGAAAAACAAACAAACAAAAACTCTGACATGGGCTGTCCTCACATTTTAATCTTATTGCCTCATTTGCTGCTGCCCAGTAACACTGAGGCTTTTATCAACCTTTGGAAACTGGAGGACACTATAATAAGTAAAACGAGCCAGGCCCAGAAAGACAAATATTTCATATTCTCACTCACATATGGGGGCTAAAAAAGTTGATCTCATGGAGGTAGTAAATAGAATGGTGGTTATCAGAGGCTGGGAAATGTAGTTAGAGGTGTGGGGATGAAGAAAGCTTGATTAATGTGAACAAAAATGCACTTAGATAGAACGAAAAGGTTCTAGTGTTTTATAGCACAGTCGGGAAACTATAATAATTTATTGCATATTTCAAAATAGCAATAGCTAGGAGAAAAGATTTGGAATGTTCCCAACACAAAGAAATGATAAATGTTTGAGGTGATGGATATTCCAGTTTCACTAATGACATATTGTATATACATATCAAAATACCACATGTACCCCACAGGTATATACAACTACTATGCATCAATACAATAATAATAAAAGAGGCAACCATGGCTTATCAGATGGGTTCCCCAATTTCTACCTTCATGGACATGACTTCCTTCTGGATGACATCTGAAAAGAGCAATTTTGGAAATTAGATTGAATGATGGAATGTGGTAGAAAACATACTGCCTGTAGAGTCAGGTGGTCTGAGTTCTAATCTCTGCTTTGCTCATTGGTTGCTAAGTGACCATGCAAAAACTGTCTTTGATCTTCATGTTTCCTATCAGTGAACCACCCATCCATGGGATGAGGGTATGATAAAAGCAGCACTTCAGAGGAGTCCGAGTGTCAAAGGGAATATAGCTGACATGGTGACTATGAACATGGGCTCTGGAGCCTGGGGTCCAAGGCCAAGTGTATGATCACTGGGAAGTCACTGAAGCCCTCTGTATCTCTCTTCCTCTGTCAATAGAAGGGGGAGGATAATACTTGGGGATTAAAGGGCCCCTTGATAAATAACATGCTTCACCTGGTCCTCCTTTCTCAATCCATTGAGGTCAACATACACTTTAAATGACTGCAAATAAATGTTGTGGAGCAGATGCCTTTAGAATGTACAGTCATGTATTTAAAATAATACTTCACCTCTGAATAAATAGATTTACCCAGAGAACAACTGACTCTTCTGGAGAAATATAGGACTTACTCTCTAGGGGAAGAAGCCTCCTACCATCAGTCAGATATAACAGCAGAGTGCACACCTGCTGGGGACAGGATGGCTGCCAGTAGGGAGTGTTGAATGGGAGAAGAAGGTGGTTGAACATGCCCAGCTTATTCTAATTTATCCAGTCAGTTAAATCTCCCTCATCTCCTGGGAAAGAGGAAGGTGTAACTAACAGCAGTGTTTGCAGGGAACTTCCTCCCCATGGAAGCAGGAGAAACAGGGAATAAACATCAATTCCTACGACTGTTCTCTACTTTATGAAATTATTGTGACGATTAAATAGTTTGTACATGCAAAGTACATAGAAGAGAATCTGGCATAGAGTTAACATACAGAAGTTAGCTATTATTATTGCTGTGGCTATTACTTGCATATCTCATCTGGGAATAGTAGACACTCAATAATTATTAGGGTTTCTTCTCTATTTTAAAAGGGAATCTCCTCTTGACCAGAACTGTAGGCTCAATCATTCAAGGCTTCTTCTCTTAGTGAAGGTCTCCAAATTCCTCTGATCATCAGGGATCAGTTTATGATTCCATTCCTGTATCGAATGAACAGAAACACCGAGAACCGAATAGTTCTTAATTGGGAAGCATTTGACATAAAGGCCAGTCATGGAGTCATTTCAGTGTCAATCTCCATTTCGTGTGAACATAGCAAACCAAATCAGAGCATTTGATCTCTTGTCTTCTATTTATATTCAACATAAAATTGTTTTCATTGGGTTTACTTTTAGTTGGAATGAAAGATCTGTCAGAGTTTATTGTTAATTGACATATTGAGAAAAAAAAATGTCCTTTGTTAGGATTAGTTATCTGAGAAGTACCATGGGTTGAAATACATGCCTTCTTTTCTGCGACTGGAATCTCTCATTGACTGATCACTATTATTGATGAGTTTCAGCATAGTATATACATATTTTTCTTTAATATATCTTTTTGGATATAATTTTGCCTCCCTCTCCCTCCCCCTCCTGGGGGCTGAGCACCATGTGTCAGCTTCTCTCTCCAATCAGCCTTGCGCCAATCAGTCCCAAAGCTGAGTTCTTGCTAGGCCTCAACATGTTTAATTTACCACAGAGAATGTTAGAATTCCTCTGTGCCTCCCCACTTAGTCCTGTTATGAGTTGGCTAAAATACATGTTTGTTTTGGCAACTACAGATGAGTAAAAAGAAAAAGAAAAATTTCCTCAAATTTCACCATTAAAGAAGGCCATTCCAAATCTACAATATCTAATCAGGAATTTAGAAAATTAAATTTGGGAAGCGATAAACTTTTGAAAAACAAATTTAGAGGCAAAACCTAAGCTGACCTGCACCAATGTGAGGTCTTCAGGCAGTTCGTTTAGTGATGGGTTTGATTATACAGTGTTGCCCCAGATCTCCTGGAGGGTATCATGTAATAAACATTATCAGTGTTATATTGATGTCAACTCTGAACTATTCAAATTTCATAGCTCATCTGGCCCCAAAGACTTTAGATAAGGAATTGTGGACTTATCTTAACATTCTTTTGTGAAATCAATTCAAATTCTACACACACACACACACACACACACACAAATACATACGCAATGAATACACACACACAGATATACATACATGGTGTTAATTAATACATTACTATGACATATACTTATTATTAAATATTTCAAACTAGGAGAAAGTACAGAAAGAAATAGCCATGTACTTACACCTGAGAATTAATTAACACTTTGCTTATAATGTTAATGTTTGCTTATAAAAATGAAGCTTTTTGTCCTTTTTATATATCTTTCGATCCCATTTCTTGTTCCCTGTAGAAAAAAAAGATGCTGATATCATGTTGGTTTTAACCTGATTTCTCTAAGTGTATTTTTACAGGCATGAAAATATGTATGAGGACTAGGTGCAGTTTTATGTCATTCTTTCATCAACAACAAATGGAAAAGATATGATACATATAAAATAGTCAATCTGGCTTTTAAATATTCAAATATTTAAAGTCTGTCTTCTTGGAAACAGGCTAAAATTTAAGTTTAATGGATTAAATCATTTAAGGGTGACCTTAATTATTGTCCAGCCATCAGTTCAATGTGACTAAGCTCTAAACATATTTATACAGTGTAATCCAATCCAATCCAAATATTGGAAAGAATAAAGGCATGGAATTATGTGACCTCTATGTTCCCATTTAGCCATGAAATTCTGATTTAGTGTGGTCCTTTTGATGTCAGTTGTGGACATTATAACAGAATACAAATGGCTTTGAGTTCTTTAGGAAATACGCACCCCTAGTTAGATAGGTCATTAGTTCTTTCTGCGGGCAAAGGATTAGGTTACTATTTATTCTATAAGAACAACAAATTAACAACCTTTCAATATTCCCTCCATTTCCTGTGTGAGTTTTATTAGGTCAAATAGTTAATAGTATTATTTTCAATCTGTTTTAACTTGGCCTGCTCATTTGCTATGTTCAGCTTTTTATACAAATATATTCATTTAATACACAATTTCTTTTTTTCCATAATTGCTGTGCTCAGTTTTACTGTCTAAAGGCACCTTTTTTCTGAATACAGTCCATTGATTTCAAGTTGGTCTACTTTCTTCAAGCTTCCTATTAAAACATAATTGTATGATATTTTAGATTTCATTTTAAAATGACCCTTTTGTGAAATTTTCCACAATGATGGATACCATGTTCCCTCTTTATCAGAGTCAATGATATAAATCAATAACAATTTCCTGACTTTATTTGAAGATTCAGTGAAGGGTAAGATTTATAATACAAAAGTAAAAGCTAATCTAGTCTCTGTGAAGCTTCTATGTCCTCAGACTGCTTTATCTAGGGCTGCATGAAATCTTTTCTCTCCAGGTAGCCCTGTTCTGCAGCATCTGCTAAGGACCAGTTTATTTCATTAAAGTGATGCAGTATGGCACAATCATTAATGTCTCAGGTTACATTTTTTTCTTACTAGATATGTGACCTTCAACCAATAACTTCTATTCGCAAGACTTCTGTTTCTTTCATTTAAAATGAGAATGAAAATAGCACCATCTTCACAGGATTAAAACAAATGAATGTGCCTTACATATACTAAGCTCTAAGTAAACGTTGGTTGTTTGCTTTTATTACTGATAGCACCATCACTCTTCAAAAATTATTATATATTCCAACTTCTCTCTCTTCCTTCTTATTATATTCCTATTTTCTCTTAGATTCATATTTGTTTTTGCCCTTGTTATTCTTTTATAAAACAAGACATCTACGGTAGTTGAGTATTTTTCTGTAAAAGCTTCTCTCAGTTTTACAGATACAAAAAGTAATCATTCCACTGTGCACATTTACAAATTGTTGTGGTTCCTGAAAGCAAGAAATTAGTTTGCTCTTTGAGGGAGTAATATTAATGAATAAAATAAAAATTAGCAAGATCCTTAAAAATAGTTTTAGAAGGGAAAGCTATCTAGATTTAATTTGAAATTTAAGTTTTCAAATTACCTATATTATAAAA